CCCCAAAACCCCAAAACCCCAAAACCCCTCAAATTATTATCGCAATTGAAATATAAAACTACAATAATGTCAGATCAAAACCCACCCTGCCTCTACTGCTCCACACAAATCCCAAAACTCCCCCTCCACTGCAAAAGTCCTGTCTGTCCCCCCTGCACTAAACAATGGCTGCTACTTAAACTCACTTCCAACCAAGCCCCATCTGCCCATCACTACTCCTAAATTCACCCTCTTAACATGCTTTCACCCCAAAATCCCCACTAACTCATTAAAATTTCTAAAACCCGCACAATTCCACAAGCCCTATCTCCTTATTTTCTTAATAATTTGAAATCATGTGCTCGAAGAAGAGGAACTGTGAAGGATCGTAGGAAGAGAAGTGGCTCAAAGAAAGAGGAGAGGAGAAGAATGAGAGAACGAGGTGGTGCTGAGATGCGGGAATTTAGGATGAATGTATGGGGAAAGGGTGGTTGTGGAGAAGGGAGAGCAGAGGAGGTGACCTGAGTGAGGGTATGGGATGAGGGAGGTTGCTTGGGTTGAGAAGGAGACTAGGGTTGGAGGTGGAGGATTAGGGAGGGAGATTTTGAATGGGATTTATACACTTTGGGTGTTGAAGTTATGCCCAAGGTGAGAATCAGTGTATACGCTGGTTTATAGTGGAGATCATGGGAGATGTAAATAAGTGAAAGTATATTTATTGATTGTTTTGACTAGGTCCTTATGATTATAGATGATATCATAGCCAAATGTATTGTCAAATGCGAAACATTATAGTTGCAATATTTTTATTATTAGCTTGAGTTTCAGGATATTTTAAACTCAGTTATTGCTGTGATATTTGGGCTGAAACTTGCGCTTTACTATTTAATATTCTTAATTTTGTGCTATTCCACTTTCTGCTTCCGAATATGCTGCTAGTCGTGCTCTTGGGTCATTTCATACTGATTTATTATAACATGACAATTCTCAAACTTCAAAATCCAATCTGATCAAAACTTCTCATATACTTATGATTAATAATCGAAATTGGAGGAATCTACTGCGAATATTACCTATGGAAAGAAATAATACATTCTGACCAATACTTTTACATCCTCAAATGATTGCTCTTCGAATTCATCCCTCTGCTATGCTTCTGCTGATACTAAATAGGTTTTGACTGTAAAGGAGATTTTAGATTTTAGAGGAGAAGAACTATGGGGATTTTGGAAATAAGTCGATGAAATTTTTCAAGTTTCTTTTGAGTGGAGGGGTTTTGGGGTTTTGGGGTTTTGGGGTTTTGGGG